TCCCTGTCTCCTCTGGTGAAAGCATGCACCCTCCAGCAAACTCAAAACAAAACAAAACAAAAAACTAAAACTAGCACTGTTAACATTTATCTAAATAAGTGTTACTCTTTGAAATTTAGGTACCAAGACATGCAATCAACCTATTCCAAAGATGCTATCATGTTATTAGTTCAAAATGTTCTTTGGAAATTCTCTTTGATACCATTTTGAAAACCACTTTATGAGGTAAAAAAGAAATCAGTATCTTTATGTCATAATGTTTTCTCCCTTAAAATGGTATTCCATCCTTTATCTTTACTCAATTCAGCTTTAAATGATTTTTGGAATTTTCCAAAAACAAAACCCACCTGACTCCAAACGTAATGAAGTCAAGAACCACGTGTTTGTTTTCTTTTTTATTTATATATCAATCTAGAAATTAACATGACTAGCAGAGAGTGGGTGTTTAATAAATATTCATGGATAAACAAATGAGTGAAAATTATCATGCATTTCACCAGATAGTTAGCGTTGCTCTGAGACAACTCTGAAAGAGGACTCCAAACCCTTGTCAGTAATAGCAGCAGCACTGAAATAACTCAAATTTCCGAGGTAACTATTTGAAGGGAATCAATGTTCACTTGAAAGTATAAATTTGGGTATGCTTATTACATTTTAATTTTATGCAAGTGGTCTAAGAATTTCAGGAATACATACAAAGAACCAGTGCTTCACTAATCATGATATATGACAGCTATGTTAACATTACGCAGAAACCTTTCTGTGAGAGTCAAACGGGGATGGACAGTCTTTCAGTTCTATAAAGAGATTACCCAGGCTATTTAAGAACTTTCATTTCCTATCAGAAGACAAACATATTTGTATCTACCACCTTACTACCTCATGATTTATGTCTCACACAGTACTAACAATGGAGCATGCCCTTCTTCTGAATGCAGTGAAGTCTATTTTGCAAATATAAATGCCCAAGCTACTGCCTTTGTATTTATCTTGTTTTTGGTTTTTAATTTTCCCAGAGGGAGCATGTGCTCACCAGAGACAGGCAGAGAGACAGAAAGAAAGACAGCGAGAAATCACCCCCGGGGGGGTGGCCACGCCACAATCCCTTCTTCTCCATTCTCTGAGCTCTCAGGATCTTGGGCACGCACGCACACGCGCCTGGTATCTGCGACTGAAACTGCAGTCAGCTACCTGGGAGTCCAGCGACGTATCCATTATGCCAACTGCTGGTCTCTCTACTCAGTTTTAATATCACTTTTACCCCACAGGTCTACCCGAAAACTACAATTCTTAAGGCTTATCAAATCATCAAATATTAGTGCCAGAAGGAACACTCAAGTCAGTCCAACAGCCTAACCTGACAGAAGGGGAAAACCGTCCCAGTGACTTGAAGAGTTTCCGTCACGGCCGTGCTGGCTGATGGCGGAGCTCAGGGAGGACTGGAGCCTTTGAACTGCCAGAAGGGCAGAGCGCGAAAGGCTTTCCCACAACATCCCATGGTCTGAGAATCGCATGCGGACATTCTGAAGTTTAAAGTCTCACCACGATGTGACATTACCATGGCACATACTGCCACACAGTAGGTCTTGGTTGCGATGTTGATAGTCAAACATTTAGAAACTCACTCGTCTGTGGCCCCGCTGGTTTGAACTTTTTGCCTGTGATTTCAAAGTCACTGATGTGCTCTCTGTGCCCTGGCCACAGCCTGTCCTCGACCAGTTACTTCACTGCATGCTGCTATCCACCGTGAGAGCTAAGAGGAACAGTGCTAACAGATGAGCAAAAACCCGTGCCCACTGCCAAACCACTGGAGATTTCTGTTGATACATTAGGGACAGCATTTTCAGGTAAGTCGGCCAAAAGGACTCATGGGGTAAAGTCTGTGCTTATGCTAATATGGGAGCTAAATTATAAAGTAGTGCCTTGCACTCAGCATAAATATAAGCATGTGGTAAATACAGTAGTTTTAACAAACTTGAAAATCTAGAGCCAAAAGCAAACATTTTAGAAGGTCTCTTTCCC